AAAAACAGGAACACTACAGGCAACATCCACAAAACAACGATCTGACAAACACAAGACGCATGAGGTGAGTATAAATAGGCAGTAGTAATGCACAACACCTGTCGCTGATAACCCCGGAGGATAATCAGCGACCACGCCCACACACACACACATTCATTCACAAATACACACACAGCGCAAGGGAGCGTCAATGAATTCATCAACCGTGACACCAACCAACCAACCAAACAAACAAATAAACTGACTGACAGACAGGCAAACAGAAATATATCAGTTTACAGAAGTAAAATCGGTTGTGAAAAGCGTTTTACGCTAAAAAGCTGCAAAAAAATAAGATCTAAATCAATAATATAATAAATAATAAGTATTATTTATAGCAGAATAATAAGTGTAGAAGACTCAATGGGTCTCATTCTCTAATCATGCACATGCAGACATTTGTGCGTGAAATTGCTGTACCAACGTTTTCACGAACAAATCACGATTCACCGAAAACTTTCAAACATTTATTCTAAATTCGCAAAAAAATGTGTAGGAACAACTGAAACTACACTTATGCAGAAAGCTATCTTTCTGTGCTGCATAATCGTTATATAAAGTTATATTTCATTCATGACTAATATTAATATAATAATAATAATATTATATTTTATAATATTACATGATTATATTAATTTATATAAAATTATATAATAATATAATTGAATTTAATCCTAAATATATTTCATCATATAGGCTACAGTGAAAGAGTAAGAAAAGCTGCGTTATACTGCGAGGTTTCTCTGAATAACCAACCCGATCTCACGCCAATTTGTGCGTATTTTACGAGGTGGCTAATTCGTACGAATTCATGACCTAACTCGTCCAGATTTTCAAAAAGCATCACCAGGAAGGACCACCACTGACCCTGCCCCTAAACCTACCCATCACTGGAGTCTAGACACGTATGAGTGTAGGTCGTACTAAATTCATATGAATTAGCCACCTCGTAAACTACGTACGAATTGCGTTGGAATAACGCAGATTCACATGTATGTACACCTGTCTAATGATAGGCCTGTAATCTGGGTCTGTATAAAATGTGTTTATTGTGTGAACTGGTTTTGAGAATGTAAAGGAAAGGTTTGGGCGTGTTTTATGCAAATGACTAACCTTGTGCATGTTCACTCCAAATTCACTAACATCAGAACGATTTTAAGAAAACTTTCTTGTGCGTATGCCTGTGTTGTGCATTAGGTGGATATTTTTTCGTGAGAAGTTCTCCTGTGCTTACAAATACGAAATAAAGTTTTATTCAACTCAAATATTAAACCTTCTTTTATTATACTCAGGCCCCGTCCACACTACTGCGTTTTCGTTTAAAAACGGAGACCTTTTGCTACGTTTGCACTTCCCGTCCAGACTAAAACGGCAAAAACGGAGACCCAAAACGGAGAAGTTTAGAAACGCTGCCGATCCGTTTTTCGTTTTGAATCTCCGGAGGGCGTTTTAGTGTAGACGGGTCAAAACGGAGGACTTTAGAAACGATGACGTAGTAGAGGCTCACGCTCGGCTCTATGATTGGGTGTCATCAGTCATGGCGTATATCTTTGCTAGCAGCTGTTGTACAAGTAAATTCTGCATTTTACAACGCTATAACTGCCTACATGCGCCGGAGTCAAGCTATTATTCGAGCGATCTGTGACAATTCCCGTGTGCAGCGGCGGCGTTGACCGTACATGGAGCGTCGGTTTGGGGTTAACCCAGAGCATGGTGGGATAATTTTATCAACGAAGTTGTGTTTACACCGGCACGCGCATGCCCAGTGTTGGTGAATGGTCACGTGATCCGCGTTTTCAGTCGTTTTAATGTGGACGGAGATCAATTCTAATACGCAGCTAAAACGCTGGTGTGGACGGAGATCGTATTCGTTTTAATTATCCGTTTCTAAACTAAAACGCAGTAGTGTGGATGGGGCCTCAATTCACTGGCTCATTGGGTAAAAGACAATTTAAATGAAAACTATCATGACACATTCTTAAAATAGAAAAAAAGAACCAACAAATGAAACATTCTTAAAATAGGGTTTGACTTGTTATGGGAAAATTATTCCCATCTCTTTCAAACCAATAAGTGCTGCTGTTGCTGATTGAAGCGAGCAGGTGAGATGGGTGGACGGGGAGAGACGGATGGACTTTGACCCCAAAGGTCAAAGTACAGGCCGGTTTTAGAGCGAGCGAAAGAGCATGCCCAAACCCTAAAGTTCAGGTTATTATTATTATTATTTCCTGACGGCAGAGAACTAAACTTTAGTCTATCTATGGGCAAAAGAACAGACCTTGAGATAGTTGTATAAAAACTGCTCTCCCCCTCCGCTCCGGGTTCTCACTTGTCTCGCAGACTGTACATTGACTACCTCTGTGGGCCAATTGAACCTTTCTTATAAGAAATAAATCATTTTTAATTCTCAGACTGTCTCTTACGCTTTGATGATTGTTTAATGAATAATTTTTTTTAGATTTTTTTCATTACTTCATTATTACTTTTCATTGGCATAAGTAGTTATACTGACCTGACCACATCAGACCTGCTTGTGACATTTACAGTCAAACATCAGTGGATATGTTACTGTGATATCTCTGTGCATCTGTATGTTTTCAGTGGAAAAGAAGGTGAATATTTTAGCCCAGCTGTGGAGCTGGGAGTTGGTAAAAGTACATAATGTAAAATGCCCAGTGACCCATGAGCGGCTCAGGATAGCTGGATGAATCTCTAACGCCTGAGCACGATATCCCTGAGCATTTCATCCATCAAGCCGGTCGTATTTGTTTTTCCCTGCTGATTTTTAGACATTGCAAATGCAGTTTAATTTACATCAGAGCCTTGAGTATGTGCAGCGTTATGATGGATGACTTTGACCCCCCTTGTGAAGGACGACATGAAAGGCCGACTGTGACTAAATCTGAGAACTTTTTACTGAAGCTTATCCCTGTTAGATACAGTGTGTCTGTCTTGAAACGGATAATGGCAATGCATCTTCCTTCGACATTTCCTGTTCCCTTCAGAGACAAAAAGCATAACCTCTAAAAATAACTGGAGAATATATCACACACATGTGTGAAATGGGTTCAGTCTTGCATAATGGATTTGTTTTAACCTTCCGACAGGATGAAGCATTCAGGCTGTGAAGTTGCAGTGAAATTGACAATGCAAAAAGTCAATAAGCAACTTTATGTTCAATGATTGTTGATAATGTATTATAAATGATTATATTTATAAATGAATAAGTTACTACATTCAGTTCAAGTCCTTGTGAATTTGAATGGTTGAGAGGCATTCAAAAAGTACTGAGAGTTATTATAACTGATATTTATTTATGTGATGTTTCAGACCAGAGTAGGCCTATGTGAGTGTCACCATTGGTTGCAGAAGGAATGGGCAATAAATGTAACAACGGAAAATAAGGGCTATAAATACAAAGGGAAACACTGGGGCTAAACGAGAAAATTAACTTCTAGACACAGGTGTAACACATGATGGCACATCAAAAACTCTGGCAACAGATGATTTAACACATGAAACTGAACTGGGAAGAGGGCAAAACCAAACAGTCCAACTCAAGCAAAACACAAACACAGACCAAACGTGACAGTGAGTGGTGTAAAGCGTGTGTGCCTAGAGCGAGGAGCAAAAATGTGAAAGTTTCACTTGTAGTCTGGAGTGGTTGGGTGATCACTCGGATCAGGGTTTCACTCACCAGTGAGTGGGAAATGGAAAACCAGGAATGGAACAGGAGTGAGTTCTTTGAGCGTTAAAATTGCTCTTGTTCCACAGACATATTCTGTTCAAGTTCATGTGTTGCAAACTTGCAAAGCTTGATGCTTGGGCCTATTTTGCAGTAATTTTCAATGGTGGGTAAAAACAAAAAAACAAAAAAAAACAACAACCAGGAACAGACTTAAGTCACTAACATGTTCTTTTGACCTATATAATATATACATATATATATATATATATATGACGTTGACACAGAGTGCTTCTGCTGACAGATATTCTAGAGTTGGGGGCTGGGTGACACCTTAGTCAAACCGCTGCTTCCTGTGGGGAAGCCAGTTTCACTGTAAGCCCGGTTCAGTGAATGGATACGTGCGCAATTCTTGCTCCAATTGAGTTCCCCTTTTTAGCCGAACCCTGTCAGTTCCTCCATACCCTTCGGCAACGGACGTGTCGGTACGTCCGACGCCAGGCCTATCACTCGTATGCATTGGTGGAACCTGTGTTAGGCTGGGTCCATATGCTGTGATCCCTACGGTGATCCCATTTGTGTATTCTTCCACGGTTTGGCTCCCTGCGGCGAGCCCCGTATCTTCCCTTGGCAGAGCCTGGTCTGCCGTTACTGTCCAGTTGAGTCTCCCCCTGTCATAGGCTGGAGCCACCCCAGTGACATTCCATATGTTTCACTGCCCGGTCATCCGCCCAGTTCATATGTGTATTCTCCACATGTTACCTCCCTTCGGGCAGGATGTGGCTTCCGTAGAGTCCCTTCCTTCCTTGTACAGGGAACACTTTTCCCAGTGGTCCTGTAGGAACAGCAGTGACTTCCCTGGCCTAAGCCCTGTCCCTTCCCGCATACGCAACCAGGACGTTCTTTTTCCTTTATTTTTTATAACAGTACCTACATTTTATTTTACTTTAAGTGGTAACAACTAAATTTTATTCAAGGTAAAAATGTCAACTAATTTGAAAAAATCAATCTGACATATTAGGTTACACAGACAAAATGATAAAAAAAAAAAAAAAAAAAATACAGTTTAGGTCAGTTAGAAATATATACTTGAGGTTACAACTGCAAGTTTTCACGTTTTAGGTGTTGGCATATCCAAATGCATTTAGGTTGATTACCATGTAAAGCACATTCCACATTATCACATTATAATTTTTAAAGTTATAGACCCATATCTGATATTTCTAGTACAATTGTGAGTGTGGTATTAATCTCTTGATGGTGCAATGTAACTCACCACTAGACTTCCCACAGCAGAGTAGGCTGCATAGGCAAAGGGTTCAGTCGTAGACGTTGATGGCTGTCCACACCTCGCTCCGCTGGGCAGGTAACATTGGTTTCCAATCTTCTCCACGATCGTGCTGAGGGCGGGTCCGGGATAGCTCAGAAGAGCCGTGTGATTAGTAACCCGGACGTCTTTTAATCCGAGCTCCTCCCACCGCTGAGCGATGTACTTGACCTTGGACTCTTCTGTGAGATCGGACAAGCTGTCAAAGTCCCTGTGTCGAAGCAGACACAACAGGAAGAAACATCAATAAATGCATGTAGTATTTTGCAAAGGCACCCCTTTACAACCCAACCACAAGACGACACTCAAAGCATTGATGAATATGTGCAAGACTCATTATCATTAGCGTAATTAGCACATTGTTGACTTTAGGTTAACATTTGTTTTCCTCAAAGGTATTTACATGGTCTATTGACATGAAGCTGCAGCTAGAAATGTGGGACAGAAATGGAGAGAGGGCCTCCATAATTCATATTCCGGACAAGCTTCAGTTAATGTAACTGATGAATATGGCGGTGCAGAGAATCAATTGTCTCCTGAACAAACGGATGCACTATTAAAAAAGGATTGCCTAGAGAGAAAGTAAATTAGCAACAGACGGTTAAACATGAGAGTGAGAAATGAAGCGCTGCTAAGGTGCTCTGGCAGCTCGGCTTCGCTTATTTCTTACCCGTCACGGCACGTGGAAGGCACAAAGAGAAATACATTGTTATCTTGTAACTTGAAAACTTTGAGAGCTCTCAAGCCCATCAGCATGCCAAAGCTCACTCAGTGATTTTATGGGAGAAACACAGCAGGCCTGCCCATTCTCGCAATCTTCAAAACAAAATTAATTGAAGTGTAAAAGTAAGCCAAGAGCCTCCGGAGACTATAAATCATTTAACTGCATTTTTCCCCTTTATCCTCTATGATGAATTTGCAGACGTTGATCATTGCCACATGACGCTAACAATATCCGTAACCCAAACAAAAAACTGGGACAGATTATTCCTCTTCTCTGCTAAAAAAAAACAAATCTCTCATTATACTACTTTTTCAGGTGAAAGAGGTTAAATCTTTTACAACAGTTCTGATTTTGACAGCACAAAAAGAGAAGCAAGAACATCCTGGCATATTTGTACTGCCTAATATGAAGAGTACACACTAAATCAACAGTGTCTGGTACGCTTCATGCCGAGAGATGTTTTATATGCACAACAAATATTCTGTATTCAATTATAATCTGTTTTGTATTTGTGTTGTTTACTTGCAAATTGCACTGTGTAAAAAAGGAGGTATTCATTGAACCTACAAAAAAAAAAAAATAGAGATGGGAGGAAGAATAATAAGTCAATGCTTTTGCGTTCTCTCGCAAATGTTATGTGTTCCCCCGAGAAACTCCCCCCTAAAAAGTTTCTAGGCGGAACATAAACATTTGGCAAAGGAACGCAAAGTTTCTCTCAGAAGAACACATAACATTTGCGAAAGAACGCAAAAGCATTGACTAATTATTTTTCCTCCACTTCATATTTTTTTCTTCACCATGTCCCTTTAGGGGCTCCGTACAAATGAAAGCAACAGTATGCATGCATTTGAAGCTAACTTAATTTACTAAAGTACTTTTTTTTTTTTTTTTACAGAACTTTTACCAATTTATTATTTAGACTGAGTAAGAATAACAGTATTTCAGTTGTATTCATAAAAAACAATGCAAATTAGTTTATTGTTTGATTTATCTAGTGTTTCTATGATAAATATGTGTTAAATACACTCACCTAAAGGATTATTAGGAACACCAGTTCAATTTCTCATTAATGCAATTATCTAATCAACCAATCCCATGGCAGTTGCTTCCATGCATTTAGGGGTGTGGTCCTGCTCAAGACAATCTCCTGAACTCCAAACTGAATGTCAGAATGGGAAAGAAAGGTGATTTAAGCAATTTTGAGCGTGGCATGGTTGTTGGTGCCAGACAGGCCGGTCTGAGTATTTCACAATCTGCTCAGTTACTGGGATTTTCACTGACAACCATTTCTAGGGTTTACAAAGAATGGTGTGAAAAGGGAAAAACATCCAGTATGCGGCAGTCCTGTGGGCGAAAATGCCTTGTTGATGCTAGAGGTCAGAGGAGAATGGGCCGACTGATTCAAGCTGATAGAAGAGCAACTTTGACTGAAATAGCCACTCGTTACAACCGAGGTATGCAGCAAAGCATTTGTGAAGTCACAACACGCACAACCTTGAGGCGGATGGGCTACAACAGCAGAAGACCCCACCGGGTACCACTCATCTCCACTACAAATAGGAAAAAGAGGCTACAATTTGCAAGAGCTCGCCAAAATTGGACAGTTGAAGACTGGAAAAATGTTGCCTGGTCTGATCAATTTCAATTTCTGTTGAGACATTCAGATGGTAGAGTCAGAATTTGGCGTAACCAGAATGAGAACATGGATCCATCATGCCTTGTTACCACTGTGCAGGCTGGTGGTGTAATGGTGTGGGGGATGTTTTCTTGGCACACTTTAGGCCCCTTAGTGCCAATTGGGCATCGTTTAAATGCCACGGCCTACCTGAGCATTGTTTCTGACCATGTCCATCCCTTTATGGCCACCATGTACCCATCCTCTGATGGCTACTTCCAGCAGGATAATGCACCATGTCACAAAGCTCAAATCATTTCAAATTGGTTTCTTGACCATGACAATGAGTTCACTGTACTAAAATGGCCCCCACAGTCACCAGATCTCAACCCAATAGAGCATCTTTGGGATGTGGTGGAACGGGAGCTTCGTGCCCTGGATGTGCATCCCACAAATCTCCATCAACTGCAAGATGCTATCCTATCAATATGGGCCAACATTTCTAAAGAATGCTTTCAGCACCTTGTTGAATCAATGCCACGTAGAATTATGGCAGTTCTAAAGGCAAAAGGGGGTCAAACACAGTATTAGTATGGTGTTCCTAATAATCCTGTGTGAGTGTATATAGGGTCACACACAGACCTCAATGACAAACAAAACGAAATGAAAGTCTAAACAAGACTAAACGAAATTAGACTAAACGAGACTAAAAATGTAATTAAACTAAACACAAAACAACAAAACAAAACAGCATTCATAAGTCTACTTGTTCCTGAAAGTTAAAACACCAATAGTTAGGTGTTACTGGGGGAAAAAACTAAAATAACATTTGGTTATTTTTCAATATTATTTAAGTTTTTTTTTTTTTTTACATTCAAGAAAACAAATGTATGACTTCAAATGGTAAATGTCTTTTATACATAAGGAAAACAAAGACATGATTTTGACTAATTCTACCAGACATTTAACATAGTCATCTACAAGCCTCATATAAAGATAGTTATTTGTCTGGACAATTTTTCTATATAAACTCTAGACAATGTTCTTTCATATGGACGGAGTGGACAGAAAAGTTTTCAATTCCCTATTCCTGTTCAAAAATGTGCCACCGTTACAGAAAAAAAAAATGTTGTTTGAGTTTCCTTCTAGCTCTTCAAGCACATCCAGTGATTCAAGAGAGCGGACAAGAAGTCCAGCCCAGCATTGAGGCAAAATGACCTGCCAGAGTGTGTCCAATCCCTCACGGCTGTGCATGGGTGCCTGGGTAATCTAATTAAAAGCGTGCTCTGCATGAGTGGAGAGGATGATTCCTAACCTCTCTCAGGTAATGCTTCTCCAACCTCCACCCCCACTACAGCTGGCACAAGACTTAAATAGTAACCCAAGACATTACTTATGGAGGAACTGTTTCTTCAAATGATTGTGTGACCAATTTTAGAGTGACCAGTTTGAAACGAATTACAAAGAAATGTCACTTCGTGGTGAATTAGAATGGGTCTAAAGTCTAGGATTTGGTGCTAAATAAAATGGGACCAGAATGGAATAACTTCTATCATTACATTTTTGAAATACCTTTCAAATAATAAAATGATCTGCAAATTAATGCAATAGTGAAAAAAGATCATAAATTCAAATCGGAATACATACAATTCAAGTTTAATTGCATTTCTATTAGCAATTAAAGACATGTTCAGCATTAAATGTAATCTTTGATCTTTAAATAAAATATATATACACAAATATACACTACTGTTCAAATGCTAGGTTAGAAAGATTTTGTTTTTTAAATAAAGGCCAGGTTTCACAGACAGGCAGATTAATCCAGAATTAAGCCTTAGTTCAAATTTTATAAAAGTGCCTTAGAAAAAAACATTATTGGTGTGCATCTTGAGACAAAACAATGGCACTGACATATTGCAGAAGTTTAATACTTAGAGAAAAAGGTTTAGAACAAACCTGAGCAGAATGATTGAGAAATATCAATAAAGGCACTGTCTTGCAACCACTATAATTGATGTACAAATGAACCGCCACACTTCAGTGTTAACATGAAACCAACCAAATTCGACATGAATCTATATTGCCATAGTTACACGGCTACTACCATTTATTCCAACAACCAAATCAAAGAACATTTTATAGGACGGCTTTGTGGTAAATATCTAAAAGAAAAAGTATTTCCTATTTAGTTTAAACTCTTCAGAGTGAGCCTATTAAATATGCTTTGGGTATACTTTGGGTCTGGATTCATGTTGGGTTTCCTCATTCATTCGTCCAGCACAACAAAACACTTGACTTAAGCAGTACAGTTGAAACAAATCAGGTGAGTGAATCCATAACACATGGTGGCATACGTAACCTCATTACTAACTCAATATTTTCAATAAAAGGTCAAACCAGTTAACTCTGGGTCCATTTGTAATGAAGACGTATATCCTCAACCTCTACTTGATGTCTCCCACTGACCAATCCCAGAAGAGATCTGATCAGAAGATGGTGAAGATAATCACCGATCCTACCGGTCACGGATTGACCAAATCCAACCTCTTGTCAAGCAATGTTTGTTCATGCTCTCCACAGCAAAACCCAATGACTGATGTTGCTTCTTCCATCTGGAGAAAAGATCAGTCACTACGTCGCACAATCCAGGCTCACAGCTGAAACTATTGGCTAGGAACAAGAGAAGTCTGCAAACCCTCGCGACGGCAGATCCTTAACTCGGCACCATCTGTTATGGAGACTAATACAGACATCAGGAGAGAAGCCCTGCTCTCCTGTCAAGCAACAGAAATCAGCCATTTCCACACAGGAAGCCTGTCAACAAAGCCGCCAGATGAGGCATTATTTCTCCAAGCTTCAAAGCAATTCTGCT